ACGCCCTAGACTGGTTAGGTCCCATACCTGGAGGATAGGAAGTTACCTGTTGTGAGATTGGGAGACTGCGTCTCAGATATGTGGCCCCTGACCTGTGGAGTCACCACAGGGGTCGATCCTGGGAACCTCTTCCTATTTAATCTCTATCATGCTGCCGTTAGGTCAGTTAATATCAAAAGAAAAACAAAGTGTCCTAACCACAATTACGCCGACGACACTCAGCATCTAGGTCTCACTGACTGCAGGAGAACATGGACCACAGGATTTGCTCCGTCACTGTATCCAACAGATCAGTGACTGGATGCAAAATAATGTTCCTCCAGCTAAATGCAGACAAAACCAGAAATCATTGTCCCTTTGGTCCCCAGAAACAAAGAGAGGGGCGTCATTTGTCAACTTCAGTCACTCTCATTCCCTACTTCCTTCAGACAAGGTCAGAAATTTGGGGGTAAACTGGACTCAGACCTAAATTTCAATAGCCACAATAAAATCAATAACATCAACAGCTTTTTTACCATCTGAAGAACATGGCCAAAGTATAAATATAGTGTCCAGGGCAGACTTGGAGATTCTTGTCCATAGCATTTTGTCTCCAAGCAGGCTAGACTACTGCAATGGCCTGCTTACAGGTCTGTCCAAACAGACCTGTAAGCAGCTGCAGTACATCCAAAATCAGCAGCTAGAGTCCTGACAGGAACCAGGAAGTATGACCATATTAGTCCCGGTCCTCAGGTCCCTCTGCACTGGCTTCCTGTGGCTCAAAGAATAGATTTTAAAACAGCTCTGCTTGTGTACAAGTCTCTCCATGGCCTTGCACCAGAATACATTAGTGACATGTTGGTGTCATATGAACCGGCCCGGACTCTGAGGAGCACAGGGACTGGCCTCCTGCTGGTGCCCAGAGTGAGAACCAAACATGGGGAGGCTGCGTTTTCAGATCCATGCAGCTAAGATCTGGAACAATCGTCCCTGAAAATGTGAGGGAGGCGTCTACTCTGTTGCATGTTTGTATTTCCTATGTTATTATAAAGAACATTTACTCTCAGCTCTTCTAACTTTACACGGTTGATTTCCGTTTCTTTTGCACTTTGCATTTTTTTATTTCTCTGATCCATTGGTTATTTTTTCAGGATTTTGACTGTTTCCAGCTCAACACTCCTTCACCCATCATGTCTACATGTCCGGCCTTGCCAAACTGCTCCGACCCTTTCAGGAACAGGCAGCACTTCACCAGAAACTTGGGCTGCTCCTCCAGGGAGGCGAGCGGCAAACTCCCCCCCGTGAACTGCATGTACGTGGTAATCCAGCTGACGCAAGAGGAAGACGAGACTATGACGAGCCTCCTCAGACTGCATCATGGGGAAGGGAGGCCAGACCAGTCAGGAGTCCAAGGACCACAAGCGGACTGTTCCAAAATACCAAATGAACAAATTGAGACACATTCTGCAAGTTCACACTGGTCTGATACAGAAATGGAAGTTGCAAACACACTCATAACTGAACTCGGTGTCATAAGTGACAATCTATATAAAGATGACTGTAATTTTCTACTTATAGACAAAAAAGGAGCTACTTAAGGTTTTTCACATAAAGAGGGTTATTCCGCATTCCACATTCTCAGAAAAGTAGGCTTTGTGTGGCCTTTAGAGTTTAGGATTTGAACAAACCGCAAATTAGTCAAGAACTGTTAATATCATGGTGTGTTTGTGGATTTTGGTCTTTCATGGTTTTAAAATGTTTATATTTTTGCGGGTACATTGCATGTTTGTTTGATGTTCAATTAAAGAAGAATGTCAGTCATAGATGTATAACAGTATTTTTTTTTTAATTAAAACAACTACTTTGGGCTTTGGTATTTACAACATTTACAAATAAGAAGCAGCAGAGGGTGCTACAGCTGGTTCCACTGTCAAAGTAAAACATTTGCACTATGATCCTGAGTTTATGCATTAAAAATCATATGGAGATGAACTCTAGATTTTGTTACATTCTTTGCACGACAGGTTAAATCAATAATATCAGCAACATCAACAACTATGCTAACATTGAAGTCTGTGAGGTTTTACAATAGTTTTCTTTTTGCACACATTTTATACAGCGTTCGAAATCCATCCTATTGTTTATTCATACGACTCATTACTTATGCAAATAGCTTTCAGTACCCATAGCTCTGGTGATAGTCTGTAGTGTTCATTAGAATCTCCGCGCAGCTTTAGTTTCCCGTTCGGCTCCTGGTGTTGGTGAAGTTGCTCGCCGCTTGCATGACTCGGTAGCGTTCCCGTAGGTTGCGCCGCCGCACGTGCTCGTTGGTGATCTCGATGACGTTTTCCGCGGGGAACCAGCCCCTCTGGCCGTCGGAGAGCCGAACCCCCTGGTACAGGCCTGGTATTTTGAGAGGGTACACAGGAGGAGAAGGGGGAAAAAATCAAGGGGAGGTTTCTGATTTGTTCATGCAATAAAAACAAAATCGATAAACGGCTGAGGTTCAGGGTGGAGTTAAAGAGGGTATAAGCAAGCAGAGACTTAAATGAGACAGGGAAATATGCATTTGTTTGCCAATATTTATTTATTGTTTATTTGGTTGGGACAGTACATGACTCTGGATTATAACCATGGGCTAATTTCCATCCGTTGTCCCACATTCGCACACTCATTCACCTTAAACCAGGGGTGCTCAATACGTCGATCGCAAAGGTAGTATTGGTAGATCGCATTAAATAAATAAATAAATACACATTCTAAACGAATATATACAAAAAACTCCGGGCAAAGTGGAGATTTTTGAAAACTCCGTTAATGCATTTGTGTGTAGACAGAGATAACCGGAGTTTTGCGTTCTCGTCGCACGCCACAGTACCCCCCTAAATTCCTCTGATCACTGAAGCATGGATCATACTACCTTAAAAACTGTTCGCTGTGAGATGCTCGCAGCAGCAAACATCCTCCACATCAGAGAGCAGCAAAGTGATCGCGGGGACTCACGCTCGAAAACAACCAAACCAGGACTAAACCAGGACTAAACCAGGACTAAACCAGGGCTGAGGACGGGGTCAGTGCTTGTAAACATACGTCTTTACTCTGAGTGTCTTCTATGACTGTAAAAGTGCCCTTACCGGCGTCTGCATCAAAGCTCCGCCCACTTCTGTGTTTTTCCCCAACGCAGGACAGGACGTAAGAGACGCACATGTTTGGAATGTTACGAATGTGATTGATAACGCAGATGTGTGGATGCAAATTATTTTATAAACTGAGGAGGGGAAATATTTGGATTTAAAAAAAACAGGCATGGCACATGGACATGGCACCACAGTCAAATGACATCTGTGTTTTACTCAGTAATGTTTTACTGACACTGAGGTGACTGCACATGCGCAAACAACCGCGCTCAGTGCAGGAAAGCTAAACCACGACAAACTTGTCAGCGAGTTACCACCAATTTTCCGGACTATGCATCCCTGGCCGATTCAATTCAGTGCAAGTCATAAGAGTAAACTCGGGTAATGACAAAAAATGTACATAGGTAATTGTGTTTTGTTGTGCTATATTGGCTCATGCGGTTTTGCATGTACATAAACATACATTGTAGGTATAAAGAATATTTTTTGAGAAAACTTCCGGCGAGCTTTTCAAGATGGCGGAGTGACTCTTCTCCGCTCCCGACCAGAAGTTGTAAAAAAGTTCACGCAACTCGAGAAAAAACTTGCTTTAATTATTTTATTCAAATATGAGGCGTGTAACTAGATTCCAGGCAACCAAGGATGACTCTGACACGAGGGAGGTGACCGCGGAGGACACGGAGGATAGCGAGGCTAACATGGAAAACCAGCTAGAGCTAGCTGAAGCTACGGAGGAGCTAACCACGGCTAAAGCTATAATGTGCTTGTCCAATAAAATGACAGAAATGAAGGACGAAATAAAACAAGAACTGGCGCATTTCAAAACGGAGATTAACCAGAAGCTTCTGAATATTACTACGGATATTCGAAACCAAGGCACGCGTCTGGCGGAATCTGAACAGCGTATTGGTGAACTCGAATCTGCGAACAAGGATCTAAGAGACGCGCTCCTACACTCAATCAAACAACAGAAAACCCTGAAGACAAAAATGACTGATTTGGAGGGCCGATCCAGACGAAATAACCTCCGTGTATATAACATCAGTGAGAATGCGGAAGGTAGCTCTATGTCATCGTTTATGGACACTTTTCTGAAGAGGGAACTTTCCCTACGAGAGGAGGAGGATTTGCAGATCCAACGCGCTCATCGCTCTCTGGGGCCAAAGCCACAGGATAAACATGCCGCTAGATCCATTCTAGTCAACTTTCAAAGGTTTGATATGAAGGACAAAGTGTTACGTGCAGCCTGGGCGAAGAAGATCATCTTTGACGGTAAAGTTATTACGTTTGCCAATGACATGCCCACGGAGATAAACAATAAAATGAAGGAATACAAGGACATTAAGAAGTCTCTTAAAGAAGCAAAGATACGCTTTCAGACACCGTATCCTGCGAAACTGAGAGTCCATTGGGAGGACGGCCCACGCGTGTACAAGACAGCGAAAGAGGCGGCGGAGGACGCGAGGAAGAGGGGCCTTTCTGTGGAGATCCCCCGCTCTTCAGATACGGACTGGGAGCAGGTACTCACTCGAGATACGCATTGGAACAAGGCTGGGAACACTCATACTGAGCGAGTACGGGAAAGACTGCGTGTGTTTCAGAATGACTAGCTAAAATGTTTCGGTAAATAATGCTGACGAAGCAAGTAAGTGCGCTTCGGCCTTGTTAAACTGTTTCTAAAGGTAAGAACAGGCAATTGACAATCTTAGTTTATGTTTATCATCCGTTTTTTTGTGGTTTGCATCTTGTTTGAAGGGAATATACACATAAAAATGAATAATTTAGAATATATTCCTCCTGTGTGTGCGTGTGTGTATAGATTTACAAAGAATAGCTTTCGTTTTTGGATGACCTACTTTAACCATTATTCTGGTCGGGTTCGGGAAGAGATGACACTCTTCAAATTCCTTTTTGTTTTTTACGTGTGCTCAAGAAGGGACTTTGTACTGCCAAAGAAGGAGCCCCTACTACCTGGAGTAGGGCTTTTCTCCTCATTTGTATTCGAAGGACGGACAATGGATGGGAAGACAGGGACAATGAAAACCCTGGAAGTGGAAGTGATTTTGTTTTGTTTACTGTTCCGTTTGTTCTGTTTTGTGTTTACAGTCTGCAGATTTTTCGTATTCATTTACTATGACTGGTATCAACATTAGAGCAGCTTCTTGGAATGTAAATGGTCTCAACAACCCTGTCAAAAGGAGCCGAGTAATGACATGGATAAAAAAGGAAAGAATGCAAGTTATGTTTCTTCAAGAAACTCACCTATCCCAAAAAGAACACGAAAAATTAAAGAAGTTTGGATTTAACAATGTTTTTCATAGCTCTCATAAAGCCGGGAACAAACGTGGAGTCGCAGTGTTAATACATAACACTGTGCATTTTGAGTGCATTAAGCAGATAAAAGATTGTGAGGGAAGGTTTGTACTTTTACAATGTAAAATAGAGGGCAAATTGTCTACTCTTCTCTCAGTCTATATGCCCCCAGATCATGACACCAAATTTATAAAGAGAATTTTGGAACTGATTGCCTCAGAATCACAAGGGGTGCTGATATGTGCAGGTGATTTCAACACAATCCTGCACAAAAATGATACGACCAACACTAGGAGAACTGTCACACCACAAAGTAAATTACTGAAAAAGGGTCTTTGCGATTTAGGCTTGATCGACGTTTGGCGGGAAATGTGTCCTCTCGATAGAGATTACACTTTTTACTCTTCCCCTCACAAAGTACATTCTAGAATAGATTTTTTCTTTATGGCGGCTAATGACAGACACAGGATCCAAAGTTGTGACATTGGTACCAGGAGTTTGTCAGACCACTCGCCCTTATATCTAACATTTCACCTAGATTCTAGGCCAAAAAAAAACGATATGGAGGTTAAACACAGGATTACTGAATAATAAAAAAGTAATAAATGACATAAAAACTGAGATAAAAAACTTTTTAGAACTAAATGACAATGGTCAGGTGAACCCTAACATTCTATGGGACACGTTGAAGGCAGTAATTAGAGGGAAATTCATATCATTAAGTGCAGCTATCAAAAAGGAAAAAGAAAAGACATTTAAAGAATTAGAAGAGTCATTAAGAGAGCTTGAGAAGAAGCAAGTTGAAACTCCAAATAATCAAATCTTAGAAGAAATTAAACTTAAGAAAACACAAATCTCAAACTGTTATAAAGAGGAAGAAGAGAAAAAATATAAATTTTTAAAACAATCCTACTATGAAACTGGCCCACAGGGCTACAAAGCTTCTTGCCAGGAAAATAAGACAGAAGCAGATAACACAGTCTGTTTGCTCAATAGTGAATCCAAGGACCGGCAGTTTAGAAAATGATCTTGATGGAATTGATGCAGCTTTCAAAGACTATTATAAAATGCTTTACACACAGCCTGAGAGAATAGGAGTAGATAGAGTGAAAAGTTTTTTGGATTCTTTGGATTTACCTTCAATAGGAAGACAACAAAATGAATGTCTAACAAAAAAAATCCATAAGATCAAACTGGAGATGGCATTTAAAAAGATGAAAAACAACAAAACCCCGGGTACAGACGGGCTTCCAGCAGAATGGTATAAGGCATTTGAATCAGAACTAACACCAATACTTTTGAAGAGCTTGAATTGGACTCTGGAAAGTATGTCAACGCCACCATCTTGGACTGAAGCATTTATTACTGTCATACCCAAAGAGGGTAAAGATAAAACTCTGTGTAGCTCTTATAGACCAATCTCTATATTAAATCAAGACTATAAATTATATGCATCCATAATATCTAACAGGCTAAACGCCTTTATTCCAGACTTAATAGACGAGGATCAAACAGGATTTATTGCTGGGCGACAAACGCAGGACAATATTAGACGTTCTCTTCACTTAATAAACACTATTAAAAGCAATAATCAGAAAGCTGCCTTGGTAAGTTTGGACGCAGAAAAGGCTTTTGATTGTGTAGATTGGCAATACTTATTCCTAGTTTTAGAAAGATTTGGCTTTACTGACACCTCCATTAACAGCATAAAGACATTGTATTTGGCCCCCACTGCAAGAATTAAAGTGAATGGCCGTTTAACAGATCGGATTGAATTAGAAAGATCAACACGTCAAGGCTGTCCCTTATCGCCAACCCTATTTGCACTCTATATCGAACCATTAGCACAGGCAATTAGAGAAAACCCAAATATTAACGGCATAACAGTGAATTCCAGAGAGCATAAAGTGGCCCTGTATGCCGATGACGTCCTGCTGTATCTATCTAACCCAAACCAATCCATTCAGGCACTCCTACAAACACTTCACACATTTGGAGCTTATTCTGGATATAGACTAAACATAAGCAAGACACAGATTATGTGTTATAACTATAAGCCAGCCAAAGTTTTAAAAGAAAAAATCAAAACTGATTGGTCCAGGAGGGCGATTAGGTATTTGGGTGTGTGGCTGACACATTCCCCTAATGATCTTTTCAAGAGAAACTTTGACGATGTGAACAAAAAAATTAAAGGGGATCTCACGCACTGGACAACAAACATACTTAATTTCCACTCAAGAATTGAAGTAATTAAAATGTCGGTCTTGCCTAGCTTGCTATACTTATTTATGTCACTACCAGTTAAAATTCCAACTTCTCAATTCCGTGAATGGGAAAAACAAATATCCCGATTTATTTGGAGAGGAAAGAAACCTCGTGTCAAATTTAGTACATTGATGCTCCACAAAGAAAAGGGGGGTTTATCATTACCAAATCTGAAAGATTACTATATAGCATCTCAACTCAGGCCGTTGGTATTGTGGTGTGATGGTACCTGTGAGGCGAGGTGGAAAGAGATAGAGAAAATATGTGGAAATATTCCTATACAGGCGTTTATTGGTGACTCAAAATTAATGACAACTCACCAAGACATTCTGTCGCCACTGGCAATTTTTACACTGACTACATGGTTTCAAACTTTAAAAGTACTTAAGTTATCAGATCTTGCACGAACACTTCGTTGGGTCGCTTACGACACAGACTTCACACCTAATCAATTTGACTCTAGATTCAAAGATTGGACACGACAAGGACTTACTTCCTATTGTAACATACTTGATAAGAACTTGTTGCCAACTTTTCAAATGTTACAAAGAAAGTATAAATTAGAGAAAAATGATTTTTTTAGATACCTACAAGTAAGAAAATATTTATCAACAAAACTATCAAAACCAGAACTGGGCTCAAATCAATTAATTAAGCTGATTTCACAATCATATACCAAAAAATGTACATCTATTATTTCTAAGCTATATCAGGGATTAGCAACTAGCAGGGGAGAATCAACAATTTATATTAAGAAGAGATGGGAAAAGGAAATTGGTTTGGACATTACAAATGAGCAATGGGATAATGTATGTGAGACAGCCTTGTTGACCACCAGCTCTGCCAACTGGCGCGAATTTAGTTGGAAAAACTTGACACGGTTTTTTATAACCCCCAAACAACAAACGACATGGAACCTGAAGAGTTCTTTATGCTGGTGAGGTTGTGGGGATAGGGAGGCCCATCACACTCATATATTTTGGTCCTGTGCTAGGATAAAACCATTCTGGACTGATGTCAGATTAAAAATAGACCAAATAACTGGTGTCAAACTTAAACAAGAAATGATGACACTCTACATGGGAGACATACCCACAGGCTTGCCAAATAACATTAAATATTTAATCAAAATTTTTATTGCATGTGCAAAAAAAGCAATCACCAGGAAATGGCTTCAAACAGACCCGCCTTCATTGGAAGATTGGATAAATCTAGTGGACGAAATTCATCAAATGGAGCGTCTGACTTTCATGCTGAGGACACAGGCTAATATCTATTACTACAAATGGGGTAATTGGTTGACATATTTTAGTACAGGCTCAGTGTTGTGACTTGTATGTAAGTATGGGTAAATATATGGGTATGCATAATACTCTAACCCTGCTCTTGCTACATCTGTATGAAAATATTTAGTGATGTACAGTGAAACTTTTTAATGCTGACTGTATTTTGTCTACTGTTCTTGTTCTGTTCATAAAAAATGTCAATAAAATTTGAGTTTAAAAAAAAAACAAAGAATATTTTTTGAAATAAATATATGATTTGCATTTTTGTAGTAGGTAGATCATTTTGACTTGATCCTTTTATAAGTAGCTCGCATGCTGAAAAAGTGTGAGCACCCCTGCCCTAAACTATTGCACATGTTTTTAGTAGTTCTGACCGGGATTCGAACCCAGAACCTTCTTGCTGAGAAGTGAGAGTGCTACCCACTCAGCCACCGTGCCGCCCAATAATAAGCTTTTATTGTTGCTAAAATCTTGCCTTGTCTTTCTGTTGGTTAAAAAGCAGATTTTTTATTTATCAATGTCTTTCATTTGATGATCTAGGTTCAGCTTTTGATTTTCTGCATCTTTCGCTTCACTTTTCTGTTGTGGAGACGCCAACTGTAGTTTTAAGTCCTTCCATATTTTCAGGGTCGTTGGCGATCATACTATTCATTTGGGTGATCTCGCTTGTCTTTCTGCTAGTTAAGAAGCAAGTTTTTTTTATCAATGTCTTTCATTTGTTGCAAAGTAAAACACTTTTTAAACACATTTTCAATCTGACGAAATGCAAACACTCTTGGTTTATGAGTCCGAACTCTGAGGAGTCCGAACTGAACCAGTTCTTGAGCATAACCTTCAGGTGAGGTCAGGACTCTGGAGAAGATGGAACAGCAGAAAACATTTCTATCCAATGTTTTTCACACCAGCGTGACCCACCCCAGCTCTGTCCTCGCACATTCACGCACCACTAGCATCAGCTCTGGTTGTACGCTGACCGAGCAAAGGGTGTGTCCGACTGGTGTGAGCTGCAGCAGATGTAAAGTTTTCGTGCTCTTCGACAGTCTTTGAGCCGGACCACAGCGGGAGGATGTGAAGAAGGTTCAGTTTAAACTCCAAGAGTAGAGTATACCAAGAGTGTTCACAATTTCTAATGTTTAGATTTAAACTTCGAAAAGTTTGAGTGATCTTGCTTTGGGTAAACTTATTCTCATATTTCGCAGTGGTTCCCTTTTTCATAGGACAGTAGAGCGATAACTGCATATTTTCTGCTTTTTCAGCTTCTAACGTTCAGCGGTCTCAACAGTCAGCTTGTCGTAACAAAAAAACATCTTTCTCATATTTTGAATGTTCCAGTCTCAGCATTTGAATCTCTGCATCTTTCTCTTCACTTTTCTGTTGTGGAGACGGTAACTGCAGTTTAAGTCCTTCCATATTTTCAGGGACGTTGCCGATCATACTATTCATTTGGATGATCTCACTTGTCTTTCTGGGGGTGAAGAAGCAGGTTTTTTTTTCATCAATGTCTTTCATTCGTTGCATAGTAAATAACAGTTTCAAACACATTTCCGAACTGTAGAAATGCATACACTCTTGGTTTATGAGTCTCTGAGGGGTCCAAGAGTGTTCACGACTTCTGATTTTTAGAGTGAAGCTTTGAAAAGACTGAGCTGGTGCCCCTGTGAAGTCTTCATTTGAGTGATCTTGCTTTCATGAAACGTATTCTCATATTTCATCCGTTCAATAATCTTCACAATGTCACAGTGGTTCCCATGTTCAGAGGACAGCTGAGCAATAACGGCAATGTTCCTTCTTATAGCTTTTTCAGCTTCTAACGTGTCTTCCATGGCCTCTATCTCAACAGTCAGCTTGTCGTAACAAACAGAAACATCTTTCTCATATTTTGAATGCTCCAGTTTCAGCTTTTGAATCTCTGCATCTTTCTCTTCACTTTTCTGTTTTAGAGACGCCAACTGTTGTTTAAGTCCTTCCATATCTTCAGGGATGTTGCCGATCATACTATTCACTTGGGTGATTGTGCTTTCTTGAGACGCATTCTCATACTCCATTCGTTCAAAAATCTTTGTGATTTTGCTGTGGTAACCTTGTTCAGCAGGCAACATTTCCTTCCTTTGTCTTAGCTGCTGATTATCACTCTGATCACTCTTCTGTTCAGGAGACGCCAACAGCAATTGAAGTCCTTCCATATTTCCATGTATGGAGGACAGCTGAGCAATGACTTTATGGTTTCTGTTCATAAATTGTTCAGCATCTAACATGTTCTCTATGGCCTCTATCTCGACAGTCAGCTTGTCGTAGCAAACAGAAACATCATCCTCATATTTTGAATGATCCAAGTTCAGCTTTTGAATCTCTGCATCTTTCTCCTCATTTTTCTGTTGTAGAGAGGCCAACTGCAGTTTAAGTCCTTCCATATCTTCACTTTTAGAGGATGTCTTTATTCCAAAAGACGGTGTGTAGGGGATGTTGGCGGTCATACTGTTCTTTTGGGTGATCTCGCTTGCTTGAGACTCATTCTCAGATTTCATCTGTGCGATAATCTCCTCAATTTTGCTCTGATTCCCTTGTTCAGTAGGCAAATCGTCCTCTACTTCCTCAGAGAGTTTTTGTCTTAGCTGCTGATTATCTTTCTGATCACTCTTTTGTTCTGGAGGTGCCAACAGCTGTTTAAGTCCTTCCATATTTCCATGTGTAGAGGACAGCTGAGTAATAACCTCATAATTCCTGGTTATAATTTTTTCAGCATAGAACATGTCTTCTATTGTCTCTATCTGAGCTGTCAGCTTGTCGTAACAAACTGAAACGTCTTTCTGATACTTTGAATGATCCAGTTTTTTCTTCTGGATCGTGTCACTTTTATATTTCAGTTTCTTTTCAACAAATGCCAGATTGTGTTGAAACTTTGAGAACTCCTTTGAAAGTTCATTGTAAGCAAACTGGGACAGAGAAAGTTTCTGCTCAAGTTCCGTCTCTGTCTTGTGACCTTTTAGTTTGCTGATAATATTGCTTTTCACTAGCTCCTGCTTCAAGCGTTTAATTTCGCTTTGGTACTCAGCATTGGCGGCGTGGAGCTCGACAATCACCTCTTCCTGTGATTTCAAGTTAGTGCTCAAGACGCCAATGACCTGAGTGCGATTGTCAAGAAGGAGATTGAGGTCCTCCACTTCGCTTTTCCACTCGTGCTGCTGTAAGTCCAGCGCAGAAATGTTCATGGTGAGGCGCTGTATCTGCTGTTTCAGAGGAGTCCTACCCTGCAGATTGTCTAGTCTTTTGGATATTTTAGACTTTGCCCTGATGGCAATGTTTGCAAACTGGTTGCTATCCCAGTCCATCGCCTCAGACAGATCAGACGTATTTCCCACCTCATAAATCACACTGTTTTCTTCCATCCTTTCCATGTTGTAAAGTTGTAATGGGCTACTGTATATACCGTACTATATTTGCCTCAATTTGCTCAATGTGTTAAATGTGTCCGAGCCTGGTCTAAGAAAATTATCTTAGCAGTTCCGTTATGACGTCATAAAGGCGTTGCCATGGAGAGGGACCTGTGAAACAGAGTTCTAAATTACGTCATCGCTACGGGTGATAAGCGTTCTGCGGTTACCATGGAGATGCAGTGCCATTTGTTTATTCTTTTTATTTATTCTTTATTCAAAATATAAATATAATAAATCATGACCTACAAATTGAATATGAATTGTGCAGAGAGTGCTGCCTCCATACTCCACCAGGACCCTGCACCACCCCTCCTTCATGTCGTTGTACTCAGATACAGGGTTGAGACAGTGCCACGGGGACAGACAAACAGGCAAGGACTATTTTGAGCAAAGTTATATAATACACTCTCATTATTCACCTGGATGTGTCAGTTATCAGTTTGTCATTTCTGCAGTTCACCCCGTGATTCCTCAAGAGATGTTTTACACAGATCCAACCATGACACGTGGGAGAAGAATGATCAACCATATAAACGAGCCAAGGGTACGTATGATCCATTATAGCATTCGAATGACAGAAACTACACGGTTAGTGGCTTATTCTGCAAGGTTTTACCAACTTTTCAAGTTCAATTATTTACGCGTGCTATTGTGTTGTTCTGCCATACTATTACATGACAAAAAGTGGTACTGCATGTCCGGTAAGCAGTACTGCAGGGCTGCTCTGTGCACCTTTTTAGTAAACTTTTAACAACTTTTTAGCGCGTTTTTATTGTTCAGTTTTTTAATATATCTGAGTGTTTTATCTTATTAATTCAGTGGTTTCAGCAAATAGCGCTTAGTCCCGACTGAAACCCACTAGTAGCACAGAGGCTAACACAAGCTAACGAGGACATGGAAAGTGACAATGAAATTGGCTCAAACATGCACAATATTAGTCGCCTCACCTTGGAGCTCCGTGAGAGCGACCGTGCCACCATTGCAGAACTACGAAAAGAAGTCCTTCGTCTCACCGCAGAGTTGAATGAGAAACAATCTCTAGTGTCCAAACTTTTTGAAGTCGCTGGTGGGCAGCATTCACGGCTGATGTCACTGAGCGCTGCATATTGTGACACTGTCGTGTGGGAGAGATCCGTCAGCTCCGGACCCTCCTGTTCTACACCTAAGCGCCCGGTTCCGAATAACGAGCCCGCGGATTCCGAGGAGCCATCCTGCGCCGTGGCCCATGTCCTGAGTCTGGCAAACCGCTATGCAGCCCTCTCCACTGACATCCCGGCCCCCTCAGCAGAACCCCTGGACACTGCAGCGTACTCTACTGCTCGAGGATCCAAGTCCACTACGAGGAAAACGCTCCTAAAGGAAGCAGTCCTCAGGCGAAAGAGCGGTCCACCAGCCATGTTGGCCTGTTCCCCTTCTTTGACCCCAGTGCAGCAGCCTCAGACTGGGGTAGCGAGCCATCATTACCACCGCTCACCTCCACCGGGTCAGCAGCAGCGTCCAGAGCCAGCCCCTCTCACCGCTCCAGCGTCCCCGAGCACACAGCGTGGGTCGCCTGTAGCTGAGAGTCAGCACCCCCGCTCCTCCTCTCCATGTGTTCAGCGGCGCTCAGGCTCGGGTCCTGCTTCGGGTGAACCCGCTGGTTCCGTCCACCGAGCTCCTTCTCCGAGGCCGCGTCCACGTCCACTCTTCGCCCCGACCACTCTGATTATTGGAGATTCCATCGTGAGACACGTCCGCTTCTTTAACGCGGTCACTCGCTGTATTCCCGGAGCTACTGTACCAGACCTGCTCATACGTCTCCCTCCTCTGCTTCAGTCCCTGCCTGATACCGTTTCCAAGGTAGTCTTGCATGTGGGAATTAACAACATGAAACTTCAGCAGTCAGAAGTCACGAAGAAACATTTTATGGATCTGTTCCACCTCCTTCAATCCTCCGGATTATCTGTTTTTATTTCTGGTCCAATCCCGACTGTAAGCAGAGGTGACTGCCTCTACAGTCGTGTTGTGGCGCTGCATATGTGGATCCAGGCTACATGCAGCTCTTTTAACTTTGTCTTTGTGAATAACTTTGCCCTTTTCTGGAAACGTTACGAAGCCTATCGTCCAGACGGATTACACCCAAATAGATACGGTAGCAGCCTGTTGATGGACTACATGCGTCATGTTGTTCAGCGTTCCCCGAGGGGGGCGTGACTGTTTACATCTGAGCCCCCTCGGACCCCACCGCACTCCCCCGCCTCCTGCTCACCAGCACCGGGTGAGTACAACGGTGCAAACACTGCTCCCTGTCCGTCTGGCAGTGCATTACCAGTCCAAACACTGAACTGTGCTGACTCCCTTCTGACTCTGGGAGCTAAAGAACAACAAGGGTTTTCACATTTTAGGCCAATTGAGACTGTGTGTGTTCCTCGCACCAGCTCAAAAATGTTTTTAAATTCTAAAAAACGAAATCAAAACAGGACAGCAGTTAGACGGTCCAACTCTGCAAATCTAATTTCTGTTCCCTGTAGAAATCAATCAACCACATTAATCGACTCTGACGTTATTTTTAAACTTGCTATGCTTAATGTCAGATCTCTATGTAACAAATCATTTTTAATTAATAATTTTATCACTTCTTATGATCTTGATTTTATGCTTATGGCTGAAACATGGCTGGACCAAAATACAGGAAATGCAGTTCTAATAGAAGCAACACCACCCAATTTTAAATTCGAATCCAAAATACGAGAAAACAAAAGGGGGGGAGGCATAGCTGCAGTTTTTAGAGAGCACTTTGTCTCCCATAGAATGCCCCTTGGAAATTTTTCATCGTTTGAGTATATTTCTTTTAAAATGGAACAAAAGCAATCTTCTACTCTTTTCATTGTCCTGTACAGGCCACCACAGTCATGTTGCGATTTTATTGACCATTTTACTGAACTACTTTCATTCGTGTGCACAGATTTTGATAGTTTAGTTATTACAGGTGATTTTATATGGAGGACCAAAAATGACTAAAGTATAAATAAATAAATACAGGAATATATTAATAAATACATTCATTTTGGACAATAAAAACTAAATATTTACATTGATATGCTAAATATTACTCTGAAATCAAATAAATATACTTTTATTTAGGTTATTTATCAATATCTACATTTTTTCCTTTATTTATTTATCCATTTATTGCATATATTTATTTATGTATTTCTACATTTCTTCATTTATTTATTTATGTATTTCTACATTTCTTCATTTATTTATTTATGTATTTCTACATTTCTTCATTTATTTATTTATGTATTTCTACATTTCTTCATTCATTTATTTATGTATTTCTACATTTCTTCATTTATTTATTTATGTATTTCTGTGTCGCTACATTTCTTCATTTATTTATTTATGTATTTCTACATTTCTTATTTATTTATTTATGTATTTCTGTGTTCCTGTATGCTAATTAGGTGGGCGGTGCTGAACTCAATCTAGAACAGGATTGGTTAGGATTGCGTGAACTCTGGTCTCGATCATTTACTGCCTCACATTACGGTACTCTGTTAGCTAGCTAGAGATCCTCCGTGCACTTTTGTGTGGTATGATGGCAGTTTCGAATGTAAGTTTTTTAGGAGCCGTTGCTCATCAATTAAGAGCATTAGCAAATGATGTTAATGATGTTGAGCATAATGCACCTGAGGACTATCTACTCTTTCGGCTGGAAAGACTATTAGATGTTTTAGTTCATCACAGTGCTGACCCAGAGGTAGACTTTGATGCAACTGTGCTGGACGCTCTTCAACAAGCAGCAGCTTCACATCCTCTCACAAACCGAGAAGGCTAAAGCTTAGCGTACATCAGACTGGCAACTGATTATATCCGTCGCATATGAGTTGCTGCCCCGCACACATCGACAATCTGACGAAAACGGGCAACTCCCAGTAGCAGACCAGTCTCGGGAATAACAGCGCGTACATCGACAGCAACTGGCCTCAACTACAGTGTGTTTTCTGACATAAACTGTTGCGGGCTCGCAACACACACAATACACACACGTTGTCGGAGCGGCGCATGGAGCGCACACATCGGGTCATGTCTCAAAAACTGAGGACAACTAGTTGCCGAAAAGTAGAACACGGGCAACTGACTGAAACTGGAGACCGACTGCTCATCTCCAGTTGTAAGAGCGCTCACATCGACCGATTTTGGCAACTGATCATCTCCATCATCTACTCTCAGTTGCCAAAAGCCGCCTTGCAACTAGTTGTCCCCAGTTTCTCTGTCGATGTACACTAGGCTTAACTTTGCTTCTGTCTGGTTGCCCTACTGCCCACCAATCATTGAGTTCAGCACCGCCCACCTAATTAGCATACGGCAACACAGAAATACATAAATAAATAAATGAAGAAATGTAGAAATACATAAATAAATAAATGAAGAAATGTAGAAATACATAAATAAATAAATGAAGAAATGTAGAAATACATAAATAGATAAATGAAGAAATGTAGCGACACATAAATACATAAATAAATAAATGAAGAAATGTAGAAATACATAAATAAATAAATGAAGAAATGTAGAAATACATAAATAAATAAATGAAGAAATGTAGAAATACATAAATAAATATATGCAATAAATGGATAAATAAATAAAGGACAAAATGTAGATATTGATAAATAACCTAAATAAAAGTATATTTATTTGATTTCATAGTAATATTTAACACATCAATGTAAATATTTAGTTTTTATTGTCCAAAATGAATGTATTTATTAATATATTCCTGTATTTATTTATTTATTTATTTATTTATACTTTAGTCATTTTTGGTCCTCCATAATTTTAATGTACATGTTGATAATGTTGATGACAGAAATGCAAAGGAGCTGGCTTCTGTATTTGAGACCTTTGGTTTCATTCAGCACGTGAGTGGCCCCACCCACAGCAGGGGGCACACTCTTGACCTG